TTTTCGCAAAGAATAATCAAGTTATGTACTGTATCACTCTAGAATGACAGCAAAGTATTTGCTGCATTTTAAATGACATCAGACCATTTATTTTACCGTTAAAGATTTTCAATATTTTCATAAAAATCTGATGTGTCCAACACATGATTTTTCTGTCTAGTTATTACAGACTTTTTCTGCTTATTTTATACAACCTATTGTGTCACCCCTGTAAATGTTTAGGTTAAACTAAATGCATATATTTTCCACACACACATCTTACTCGATTACTTTTATAGATATATTAATTGCCAAAGAAACAAAAATTCACATTTCCTCTATTTTTTCCGTAACGGTCCATTTTAAAAAATCATATATAAAACAAAATTTATAAATATCTTAAATAATTTGAACAATTTGATTATTTAAACAATTTGATTATTTGAACAATTTGGACAATTTGAACAATTTGAACAATTTAAACAATTTGAACAATTTGAACAATTTGAACAATTTGAACAATTTGAACAATTTGAACAATTTGAACAATTTGAACAATTTGAACAATTTGAACAATTTGAACAATTTGAACAATTTGAACAATTTGAACAATTTGAACAATTTGAACAATTTGAACAATTTGAACAATTTGAACAATTTGAACAATTTGAACAATTTGAACAATTTGAAAAATTTGAACAATTTGAACAATTTGAACAATTTGAACAATTTGAACAATTTGAACAATTTGAACAATTTGAACAATTTGAACAATTTGAACAATTTGAACAATTTGAACAATTTGAACAATTTGAACAATTTGAACAATTTGAACAATTTGAACAATTTGAACAATTTGAACAATTTGAACAATTTGAACAATTTGAACAATTTGAACAATTTGAACAATTTGAACAATTTGAACAATTTGAACAATTTGAACAATTTGAACAATTTGAACAATTTGAACAATTTGAACAATTTGAACAATTTGAACAATTTGAACAATTTGAACAATTTGAACAATTTGAACAATTTGAACAATTTGAACAATTTGAACAATTTGAACAATTTGAACAATTTGAACAATTTGAACAATTTGAACAATTTGAACAATTTGAACAATTTGAACAATTTGAACAATTTAAACAATTTAAACAATTTGAACAATTTGAACAATTTAAACAATTTGAACAATTTGAACAATTTGAACAATTTGAACAATTTGAACAATTTGAACAATTTGAACAATTTAAACAATTTGAACAATTTAAACAATTTAAACAATTTAAACAATTTAAACAATTTAAACAATTTAAACAATTTAAACAATTTAAACAATTTGAACAATTTGAATAATTTGAATAATTTGAATAATTTGAATAATTTGAATAATTTGAATAATTTGAATAATTTGAATAATTTGAATAATTTGAATAATTTGAATAATTTGAATAATTTGAATAATTTGAATAATTTGAATAATTTGAATAATTTGAATAATTTGAATAATTTGAATAATTTGAATAATTTGAATAATTTGAATAATTTGAATAATTTGAATAATTTGAACAATTTGAACAATTTGAACAATTTGAACAATTTGAACAATTTGAACAATTTGAACAATTTGAACAATTTGAACAATTTGAACAATTTGAACAATTTGAACAATTTGAACAATTTGAACAATTTGAACAATTTGAACAATTTGAACAATTTGAACAATTTGAACAATTTGAACAATTTGAACAATTTGAACAATTTGAACAATTTGAACAATTTGAACAATTTGAACAATTTGAATAATTTGAACAATTTAAACAATTTAAACAATTTGAATAATTTGAATAATTTGAATAATTTGAATAATTTGAATAATTTGAATAATTTGAATAATTTGAACAATTTGAACAATTTGAACAATTTGAACAATTTGAACAATTTGAACAATTTGAACAATTTAAACAATTTAAACAATTTAAACAATTTAAACAATTTAAACAATTTAAACAATTTAAACAATTTAAACAATTTAAACAATTTAAACAATTTAAACAATTTAAACAATTTAAACAATTTAAACAATTTAAACAATTTAAACAATTTAAACAATTTAAATAATTTAAACAATTTAAACAATTTAAACAATTTGAACAAATTAAACAATTTAAACAATTTGAACAATTTGAACAATTTGAACAATTTGAACAATTTGAACAATTTGAACAATTTGAACAATTTGAACAATTTGAACAATTTGAACAATTTGAACAATTTGAACAATTTGAACAATTTGAACAATTTGAACAATTTGAACAATTTGAACAATTTGAACAATTTGAACAATTTGAACAATTTGAACAATTTGAACAATTTGAACAATTTGAACAATTTGAACAATTTGAACAATTTGAACAATTTGAACAATTTGAACAATTTGAACAATTTGAACAATTTGAACAATTTAAACAATTTGAACAATTTGAACAATTTGAACAATTTGAACAATTTGAACAATTTGAACAATTTGAACAATTTGAACAATTTGAACAATTTGAACAATTTGAACAATTTTCTTTAAAATTCGTATTCTGAATTTTTGTCAAATTTATCGAATACGGATCATTTTGAAAAAATTGGTGTTTTTCTCTGGATCCGTTTCAAAATTTAAAAATTGCACGTTTTCTGAAAATTCCATTTTTGTTATTGTCAAATGTAGAGTCGGTGGCAAAATAATTTATGTCATTAGCTGATTCAACCGAACGAGAAAGATAATTATAGGATTAACTCATAAGGAAAAAATCACTTGTTAATATCCTGAAAAGTTTCAATTTTTAGACATACGACCCTTTAGACTCTGACTGTTGATATATACCTCTTATTTAAATTTTTCTATTCAACTGGGTTTTATTAAGACTAATTTTTTTTCCTACCGGAACTGATGAAGTTTTGGGATAGATTTTGGCTTTATTTAGCTTTATTTAAACATTATGCCTCTCATTAACCGATTTCAAAACAGGAGGAGGTTCTCAATTCGTCGCAATATTTTTAATTTTACTTTCGTATGTCTTACGGTGGCCCACAGTTGCTGAAACTAGCCCCTCTATAATAATTTAAAAACCCTTATAACAGTTAAAATGTGTGGTAAATGACTTTGAGCTTTCTCAACATAGCTATGACGTAACAGTAAATCTTATACTTCAGTTTCCTTGGAATAATTTAATTGAATTTTATCACCCTGTATCTCGAAAACGTAGTATCCTTGAATCCAAATTAAGATAACCACTACTTTTAAGTGCTACAAGCTTAAGAGTTATTTACAAACGTAATATTGTAAGTACAAAGAGATCTTGTACGGGTGCAATTGGTAAAAAAAGAAATATATTTTTGTTAAACACCCCTAACTCGTTTTTATTTCCCTAAAAAAGAATATTTTTTTGTAATATTTTCCTTGAATATTAGGTAATGTAAGTCCAAAAAGATCTTAAAGAGATAACATTTTGGTTTCAAAACAATTTAAATTTCAGTTACTCCCATAATGAATATTTATTTTTCTAAAAGGGGAATATTTTTTGTTAATTTTGCCTTAAAGTATCTTGAAAGGGAACAATTATTGGTTTCAAAACAATTTAAATTTCAGTTAATTCCTTAATGCGTATGTATTCCTCTAAAAAAATTATATATTTTTTGTATTGTTACGCAGGTTTTTGTTATCACAATTTATTTGAACTCAACTTTTACAATAACTCAATTCAACTGATACAATAACTCTAACTGTTACATTCACATGTAACGTCTGACATAAACTCCAACTGACGTCAGGTCGTCGACTTAAATAGCTTGCCTCGGCCTTCTAAAACCTTCTCGAACAATCCAATCCGAACTTTTCTTTGACAAGGAATGACATTTCGAGACATTTCTGGATTATTCTTTTTTATTTACTCGTACTTCTACTTATGACGACCGCATCACGCTATAGGTTGCCGCGTAACAGTATTATTTGCATTGAAAGAAAGATCTTGAGGGGGCACAATTGGTTTCAAAACGGTTTGAATTCATTTAATACATTAATTAGTATTTATTCCCCTAAAATGATATTATTGTAATATTTGCCTTTAATATCAGCTGCTGCTGTAAGTCCAAAAAGATCTTGAAGGGGTGCAATTGGTTTTAAAACAATTTAAATTTCAGCTAATCTCTTAATGCGTATGTATTTCCCTAAAAGAGAATATTTTTTGTAATGTTTGCCTTGAAAAGTAGCTGTTGTAAGTCCAATTGGTTTTAAAACAATTTAAATTTCTATTAGTCCCCTAAAGAGTATTTATTTTCCTAAAAGATGATTAGTTTTTGTAATATTTGCCCTGAATATCTGCTGTTGTAAGTCGAAAAAGATCTTAAGGGGTACAATTGGTTTCAAAATTAATTAAACTTTACTTAATTTTTTAATGATTATTTATTTTCCAAAAAGGGCATTATTTTTATTAATATTTGTCTTGAATATCATCTGCTGTAGAAGCACAAAGATTCTAAAAGGGGTACTTTTTGTAATATTTACCTTTATTACAAGCTGTTAAGAGTCCAAAATGATCTTAAAGGGATACAATCGGTTTTAAAAATATTGAATTTTGATGTACATTGCAAATTCTTAAAAATTTGTCCATCCTGGTATTGCTAAAGGAAAGGTAAAAAGGAAGAAAAAAGAAAAGATCTTAGTTCATAACATGTATTTATTTGAGCTTTCATTGCGATCAAATACAACAAAATATTAAATAAAGTTAAATTTTTCAAAACATAAAAAGAGCTTCGCCTTGAATATCAGCTAGTTGCGTATACATTTTTTTGTATTATTCAGTATATTATAATAATTATTGATAAATAGTCACTTTAAAAACTTTGTTTGGAAGATGAGATGTTTACGATAATACGTATACTTAGTGTTTTGTATTTTTTTTCTTTCTTCTCTCTTAGAAACGTACAATTCAACTCAAATACTCAAAGAGAAAGTCAAATTTTCACGGCTACAATTTAGTACTTTTCGAAAAAACTTGTGGTTACAGTAACCAACAACTAGATTTTTATATCTAAATAATTATAGGCCAATCGATAGAGTCTTATGAAGAAAATATCGAAGAGAGGCTAGAATTTAATATTTTTTATTCAAAAACATAAGTTTTTTCACATATTTTTTTTTTTCAATTTTATATTGTATGTCTGTAAGTATAAATAATACCTTTTAAAATTGGATATTAGAGAAAGAAATTAGCAAGAATATCAAAAAATTATTTAACCAGAATTTAAAGATACAAAGAGGCAGATTTACTAGTTTGAAAGGTGCCTTGAAAGTTCTAAAAAGGCAAAAACCTTTCTATCGTTTCGCAAAAATTGAAAAAACGCATTAGGATAGAAACAGGAATTTGATAACTTGAGAGATATTATCCATGCTAACAAATTGGCAGAAGAGACTTTGTGAAGCATCTATCAGGAAAAATACACTGCAAATTATGTAATTTAAGAGGTATATAAGAATAAAATGGGAGAAATGCAAAAAGTTAGAAAGAAGATCTAGAATAGAAAGGCCAAAAAGAACGTAAATAAAAACCACAATGGAAATGCAAATAATGACGATAAAAGCTTCCAGACCTAGAAAGAATATGAAACACCAAATAAAGTCGATGAAATAATCTAGAACAAATAGTAAAGATCATGCATTCAAGCAAAATAATGACTTTTATAAAAGATAAGATCTCTTGAGCCTATATCAGAGAAATGTCAATATTTTGCTACAATGATCTTTCCAAAAAAAGGGTAGCCGAACCCATATTACATTGCTCTTCTCAGAATATTACGCAAATTATCAAACAGTAGCTGATGTACTGGAATTAAATAACTTAGACAATGACGGTGACCAAACCAAACAAAACAAAATACAATATAGGAAATAACAAAATAAGAAATGCAACACGTGAAGAAAACCTTACAGAGTAAACCACAGAATAGAAAAAAATTAAATAAAAAGCAGTTATTTAAAAAGAAATTAAATAAATCAACAAAAGATAGGATAAATTTAAAGAAGTATGGAGAAAAATTCAAAATCTCATTGATTCCCATTTCTGTATTAAACCGGAGAAAGCTTTTTTTACATAAGGAGGGAGTTAAACTTTTAATACCTACGATGCGAAAATATACAACTCTTTTACCAACAAATTCACGGACAGGGACAAATAAATATTACATGAGGTATTTTGAAATAATAAACAATAATAATGATTAAAAAATAGGAACAGTCTATCTAAAATTCTGCTGGTTTGAATTATTTTTATTTAATTTATAACTCATCAGAAATTAATAATAATTACATATCTACCTCTTAATTTATAAATAGTTTAGAATTTGTCTATGGTTTATATTTAATTTAATATTTATCTTTCTGAATCAGAACTGCTAATTTCAAATCTTATCTTTAATTATAAATAATCGTTTAACGCTATATTGGTAGCAAACTTAAATTCAAGGTTCTGATTTAAAAAATAAACTATTTTTAGCACTATCCATAGTAAGATAACTATAGAAACAATTTAAATATTGCACATTTTTTATAACGAAAATAAAGCAAATAAATAAAAAATTACCAGAAAAATAAATTTTTCTTACAGTAACATTATACGAGAATATTATTAAAAGAAAGTGGGAGTCAAATAGTGAACAAAAAAGTTCATTTCTAGCCTTTCCTGGACAATTTTCGTAAAAATTCCTTGATGACTGGTCTATAAGGGACTGGAATACTCTTAAAATCGAAACCAAATCAAAAACTAAAACCAGTTTAGTACGTATTACAATTTTGACACTAGAAACATCACTATATATATTAAATAATTTGATTTTTAGTTTTTGATCTGACTGACACCGGTTCTCCCTAATAAAGAGAAAAGTATACATTCTTACAATACTGTCTTATTTCATAATTTTATTATATATACATACTTTTGTGACTTAAAATTCGTATAACAATCATAATCACTTGAGATTCTTGTAGTTTTCGCATTGAATATACATTGTAGTAGTACTAACTTCTACATTTTTTTATTACTATTGGTTTGAATTTTACGATATGATAACATCACAAAATGCCGCTCAGAGCGGCGTTATGCCTTCAAGACTATATTCAATTTTACAAAATAGGAATGTATCTCAAATTGAACACTATTTACACATATTTACTAGATAACTGTTTGGCTAGTTCCGTGTACTTGAGAAACTTCGAATGAGGACTCTCCTCGAACCCTCCAGGGGCAGGCGGACTCTTCGCCCCCGCAGAACTAGCGCCGCTCGATACTGTAGACGGCAACACAGTCGTACTTTTCAGAGGTATACCAGCACTGGAAGAACTAGAAGGTTGGGATGACTTTAAAGCCACGGGATCCGGTATCACACCGTCCTTAACGAAATGCATTTTGGACAAATGATGTCTGTACGCCCCTTTTGAGATGAACGGAGTATCGCAAAACGCACACTTCATTATAGAATCTGAAGTCATCACGGCATCGTTGCAAGCCCAACTGAACGCCAATATAGCACCCGGAGTGCTACCACTCGTTGTCGTCGCGCTACTCGTATTTACAGTCGAATTTACCACAGTCGATGAAGCATGACTCCTGTTATTTGTGTGAGTTTCAGTCTTATCGCAAAGTTTTTGCAAAGCTGCCAACGGGTGACTAGATCCTCGCTTGTTGCCCGTTTGATTATTCTCATTAGCCGTATTGGAACCGGATAAGCTATCGAACATTGAGCTTAGCGCACCCAGAGCACCCGGTGGCTTTCTATCCCCGTTAGTACTTCTCGGGGTTCCTGACCTCTCACTACTCGCGGGGCTTCCGGTTGAATTTCTGCAAGGACTGTTCGGTTGTCCAGAGTCGCTTGGTTGTCGAGGACTGGTAACTGGAGTTCTCCGTTTATCGTCTTCCTCTTTAGAAATATCACCGTTACTATGATAGCTACTACGTTCATCGTCTTCATGTTCGTTAACTTCATGTTTAACTTTAATATCAGGAAACCGCTCACTTCCTGTCCTTTCCTCGTCATCGACCTCTTTCTTTACAAGGACTTGATCAGGATCGGTTTCGTTGGCACTATTGAGTTTCTCTACGAATGGCGACCTCTCCCTTTTAATATCTGGAGTAGATCTTGGAGTACTGGTTATAGGTATCCCAGGTGGTTCCATTCTTTTTTCTGGCGTAAGCGAATCGACCCTACTGCTGCCCCTTTCTGACATCGAACTCGATTCACTGCCACTTCTTTCCCGCCTTCCATACATTTGGTTTTGTTGTTGTTGATGATAATTACGCAATAAATTCATAGTTTGTGCGTCCACTAGAGGTTTCGTATAGTCTACACTCTCGTCTATTCCTAGTCTTTTGAGGATGCTACTTCCCATTGGTGCTTGAGTGGGACCATGTCCCGGATAGTTAGCGCTCTGCCTTGATCTCGAATCGAAACTTTTTTCTATAAGTTTCTCAATGGCATTTAGAACTGAAGGTGAAGAAACGTTATTGGTTTCTGATGTTGCTGAAGTATCTTTTGAACTTCCGTCGTTTACGGAGGGAGATCGTTGTTGAGGTGACGGCGACTTATCTGAAGGGGTTTTAAGTTTTTCTCTATTTGGACTCTCTGGAGGTAAAATATTACTGGACATTAAAGCATTTTTCAAAAAGTTCCTTTGGTTACTAGTCATACCGCCGACGCACTGTCTGATGTGATCTACGAACTGAGACGTTTCTATTTTGTTACCACATTTTTCACAAGTGATTCTACCTGCTCCAGTAGCATCTCGCATTTTATCTAAAATACCAGTACTGTCTCCGTTTTTGAACTCGTGTTGTGCTCTTTCTAACTCTAAAAGTTTACGTACTGGTAAGGATTTCTTTCGCTTCTCTCTGGTTTGTCTTCGCCTACCTCCGCTTTCGGTTATTGACCTCATTATATGTTCCTTGTAGTGGGAATTCTTCACCATATGGTTACTTAATTCTTTCAGGGAGCTGAAAGCTTGATCACAAACCTTACAAGTAAGAACCGCACTAACGTGGCTGCTGGTTCCTCCTGGTGGTGGATTGGGTCCAGATGGTCCATTACCTCCCCCTGCGCCGCCACCACCACCTTTAGGATCGTCTGTAGACCTCCAAGAAATAATTTGTTCTTGTGAAATAATATTGGTATAATGTTGAGTTTGCTGCATATGGCTCGTCATTTCAGCTAAAGACCTGAAGCTTTGTCCACACCACATGCATTTAAGTATCTGCCTTGTCTGCTCTGCGCCTTTACCCAGCCAAACATCTTGTCCTCTAACCAATTTCCTCGGTAATGGCATCGTTTCTTTGATTAACATATTCAAATCTGACGGATTGGGTTTGTTTGAATTCGTGGAAGAGGAACTAGTATTGGTATTTGAAGGGGAGGAAATGGGAGGTTGTGGAATGAGGTTGCTTGATTGCATAGAGGGGACGGGAACGTTAACGCCACAATGTTTGGCTTCTTTCATATGAGTCGTCATTGCAGCTAAACTGGGGAAGCTTTGTTTGCACCAGACACATTTTAGTACATCTTTGGCTTGTTCGGCACCTTTGTTTAACCAATGTGATTGCCACGCGCTATGTCTGTTACCAGCAGAATTAACTGGAGCGGCATTAGCCATGGTTCTAAATAAATCTTCACCGCCAAGTTTACTCAATTCGCTCATCTTTTCTAAAGCTTTGGTTGCGTCGCTGGGAACTGGGTTAATGTGCTTCATTTTGCCGTTCCATAGATCAGAAGAATTATTTTTAGGTGAAAGTCCTGCTGCAGCCAAAGTTGCAGCAGCGAAGTAGTGAGAAGCGCCTAGATTTGGAGGCCATTGTGGCAAGGTTGGTTTAAATTCTTTAAATTCTTTATATTCAGTGCGAGCCTTTCTGGGTAAAGGTTGGGTCATAGGTTCATCGGAAGTGCGTTTGCGACTACTGACTGAAAGATCCAGAGGTGCTCCAGTTTCTCCAAGAGGAGGGGAGTTGGGCTTGCCGAAGTTAGCATCAGAATCGCTGTCGCCAGTATCACTTTTATTTTGTCCACGTTTACTGAAATCCAGGATACCTTCTCCAGTTGGTGATTGCATTGGCTGATCAATAGGAGAGTGATTTAATCCGCCAGGAGGCGAAGAGGAAGACGTAATTAATGGAGAAATAGGACCCCTTTGAAAATTTGAAGGAAGAGGAGAAGTCATCATAAGCCTGTGCGATTGCTGAGCTACTGCGTTTAAATAGGCCGCCATTGCTGCTGATTGAGGTGGTAAAAAAGCAGCCGCAGCTGCAGCAGGTATTGTTGGAGGTAGGGTAACACCCACTGGACTTAACGAAGTACCTAATGGTATCCCACGAAGTAAGGCAGCTCTTTCGGACATCATTGATTCACCAGATGGAGAACGAGGTTGTCCCGGAGATTCAGAGTCTCTAGAGTTACAGCGTGAAGGTGAGTTCCTGAAACAAAGAGAATTTTGATAAAAACAAATAATTTAATAAAATTTTTGATTTTTATTTTAAAATCTTAAGATGGGTCAAATAGTTACCTGCAAAGATTTGTGTCCTCAACTGGAGATCTGGGGCTGTTAGGACTCAGAACGTCTCCAGGTTGTGGTGATGAAACGCCATCTTCGTTTGGTGCTGGTGAAGTAGCCGAAGTTGGAGTCATGGATTCCAAATCGTCTTCACCATCTAACTTATCGCCTTCGTCAGGGGATCCCTCCTCTCCACCTTCCCCTGTAACAATAGAAAATTATAATTAATTATGATGTAAATAAAAACGATCATTGTTTAATATGTTGCTGACATCCATGTTTAACTGCATTTATTAATTTATCATTATTTGCAAATATTATTATTATAATAGGATGCGGTGTTAATTATACATAAATTGCACAATAAAAGGACATTTATCAGTTTTCCAGGAAAAATTTACTAAAATTAAAATATCTACTAATGAAAATTACTTAATTTAACATGAATCTTATACAGTAATAGATACATGAATGCATATTTAATAAATTAAAAAACCAATAGTTGACCATTTAAATATGATAAATTGCATCACATATGCAATAATTAATAAACTTTATTTAATTGATATTAATTGAATATTTTCTATTGAAAAGGTCACTTTAACAATCCGATATTGCAATATTATATCACTATTTATATTAATCACATCACCTTACCATGTAGGAAAGTAATAAAGTAAGTGTTACGTCAATATTTCTTTGTTTGTACGCCATTATTCATTCTAATAAATAAATTGTCTAGACGCCTTAAAACAATATATTTAATGACGTCCATTAGAGATGAGTAAACTTCAATTCATGATTGAAGTTAAGTAATAAGACTAATAAAATACTAGAATAATCATTAGTAATAATGACAACATGGCAACTCCTTTTATAAAATAGTTTCACAACTACTAAAATCATGAAGAGATTAAGTTATAATAAGGCTATTAATGTTGCTATTCAATAATTTATGATATGCATTTAAAGATTTGTAGAAATAAATACTTGGCCTTCTATAAATACTTAGATTGAGAGAATATGCCAATCGAGACAAAAACATAAAAAAATTGGCAAAAGGACTAAACTAACTGAAAAATAGACCAAAGATAGTAGAGTTAATAGTGTTAAAGAAGAAATTGGAATTAAAAACAATGTGGCAAATACGTAGGTACGTTAACTATAATTAAAACGGAGAAGTCGAATAAAGCATAAAGAATAATAGATGAAGACCGATCAAAGAATAATTAAAAATACCAATTCTCGCCTTGACAAATAACTAACCTTAGTAATTAGTCTTCAGACTATCACTATGCTACAGAAATTTATAATAACCAAAGGTAACGCATAACTTTCAACTATTTGATGTATGGCATTTGGGAAGCCAGTTTCGCTCGGAGTGGAGAAGACTTGCTGCGATTAATACTAAATTTAAAATAATCAAGACAAAACATTTAAGGGTACCAGTTCAATTTAAGTATGCCAAATAATTAAGTTTCTTGTCTCCAAACTAATTAAAACAAATATTAGGAACGAAATGACCAGGAAAACTCAGGTTTACACAAATATAGCCACGGTAATCAAATTTACAAAAATGACGTCGGTAATTAAAACTTGTCAACGATAAAAGTCAAAAGTAGACAGATTCAAAATAAATGAAGATGACACTATAACAGAAATTCGTGAAGATTTAACCTATAACTACAAATAATTGTCTTTTAGGTACACATACAAGAACATGATTGAATTGAATTGAATAGGGCATTACAGAAATCGTCACTGGCTTTTAGGACAAGTCTAGGAAGATGGCTGATTAAACCAAGCCAAATAAACTGCAATATTCATCACACTAAAACTGTCAATTTTGGCATACTCGCAGGGCACAAAACATACAAGGCGAGTACAACAAATAATACCAAAGTATTTAGGGCAAATCAGATTGGTAATAGCCAATTCAAGCAGATAATCTAAATGGGTGACTATTGGACCAAATTTCTATGCGCGTGACTGAAGCAGTAATAGCTGTCACTTGATACAAAAAAGCGTTTGATATATTATTATTATAATTATTATTATATTCTTTTATTAATATTTTTAATTAGTTAATTGTGACTATTAATGCGGTCCATATCATGGAGCTGTTTTTTAATTTAAATTTAAAATATGTTTCAACCAGGTCCGTCTAATAGCAGAGCCATTTTTTATATTTATCCGTTATGAATATAAATATTATGAACCCGTGAAAATAAAAAATATTAAAAGAATAATAATAGGTTTATGGTTTAATAATAAATGATAATACAAAACAACTAAACTAAGGCATGACAGCGAGGAGCTGAGTGACTCCTATTGTGAGGTATCGGGTATTTCAAACTTCGCCCCTAGAAAGTCAGTGATAAATACTCGATTTTTCAAAAATTGCCAAATTAAGTTATATCGAAAATATGAAAATTGTAATATGGGCTATGAACTTTACACCCTATAATTTTGAAGAAAGGGCCTTCTCTATTTCTTTTAGCCACTTTTACTATATAGTTCATTTTTCAACATTTTACGAACCATATTTTCTGAGATGCTAGTTGTATCCTACTGCCACCCACATCAGCTGATGTTTAGCTTTAATCAAACAACAGAAGGTCAGTACTTATTTCGACATCAATTTTTTATATTTTCTCGTAATGAACACTGAAAGGAGATCTGTTTTGTTTGACAGTGTAACTCAAGTTGATTGGTTTTCATGCGTTTTCCAGTTCTACTGCTTCTCCAAAACATGATTTGAAAGTCTTTTATTGCTGGTGATGTACAGAACTGTCTATATAAACGTTTACGTGTAATTTAATTTTTATAAATGTCAAGTAAGATAACATTATAATGATCTGATAACTTTACAATAGCCCAGACCTGATCCGTTGTGATTTAGTATTTTTTTTTTTTTTTCGAAATTATATTTAAACCAAATTTAATTTGTCACAAGAACACTAGAATTTGTGTTTTTGTAAATGTTCATTTTTGAATTTTACTAAAAATCCAAGCCATCCCAAAAGTCCTAACCCGGGAAAGCCCTAACTCCCCTGCCTACATACTTTTGATTAGTACCAGTTGAAGATATCATGAACATCCATGCAGTTTATAATAATTTATTTTAAACATTTTCTCACGAACAACGATCAAACATTCCTAATATTTAATTTATTATAAACATAACCTTTGAGGATAATCAAGCAAATATCATTCAATCCAAATATCAATATATAAAAATAAACACTTTAAAATGTTGATTAAGTAAGAACGTCCCGTTAGAAAAAAAGAAACCCACACTGAATTATCAGTAAAATATCAAGAATTTCACTTTGAAAAATGATTTTTATATGTGCATAAAAGTCATCAATTAAACGAGCAACACCTGGTATATAGGAACGATTGAAACGAATGAAACGAACGACGAAAAACGTGATAGTTCAAGGCAAACAGCAGATGTCACTTCTTGAATGATTTAATGTCTTTATGGCAATAAATAAATCTGTATTAATGTGGTACGTTTGATTTACATCATATTTCATAAAAAGACCTTGTACCGCTTGACGTGTGCAGATGTGGTGATAATGTTTTCCCTCATGCAAGTTTAGAACTAACCCATTGGCGTTTTGGTGAGGGACAATCGAGTTGTTAGCCCTCGTCACATTTTAAAAAATATATATATTTCAATGGAAATTGCAAATTTTTATGCAATACCTATTACTTTTTCATTTAATTAAAACTGTTAGATCAAAAGTCAATGGTGAAACTAATTTATTTTTATAGAGGGATTTTGAAGAAAACTTAACGAGGAAATAGCTTTATTCCAGTTCAGGACCGTGATTGAAAATATTATTAATCACGTCAAGATCCTCCAAATGAGCCTGAATATATGGAACATAGCATCCTTGGGCTCAGAAAACTTATCCTATGGGAACGTACCTACTATGACCGTACACAAACTATTTGAGGGTCTATGGGTATATTAGGGCTTGTTCTAATATATGTATAATTCAATGCGACTTGATACTTGCTATTTAATCTTGTTGGGCTGTCTAGAATAAATCGAAAATAATATTAAGAAAATATAGCTCCACATTTTATTAAATGATGAACGTTCACAAACTATTTAGGGGAAGGGGCAGATTAATAAATATGGCGCCCATATGCTGAACCAAATCGCCGCCTATGCAATACTTTTTACAAAAATAAAAATACTAAATAAGAATGCGAAAATTATGCAAACAATTATTAGAATTACATAAAATGAAACAAAAACTTCATTCCAAAAGAATATAAAAACTAACAACTCATATCATAACATATTATTATTACGAGGTGTAAAAGATATTTAACTAAATAAAAATCGGCTTTTCGTGAGAATTTATTCTCAATGAAAATTTTAAATATATCGTCAATAAAAACGAATTCCCAATGTGACATATTGATAAAACTTTTAAATCCTTTAATCTTAACATATCGGACATACTTGAGCGTAAATAGGAACAATTGCTTACTGCCATTGAGTTGTAAAGTTTTTAAATTATTAGGAAAAATATGAAGCAGATTCCAATCACTAATCCAGTTGCAACCAGTATTGTTCCTAGGGATTTTTGAATTGTACAACTTTTAATGTCAAAATTGTTCAGTTTTACGTTCGATTGTACAATCACTAATTAATCTTCTTCTTTTTTATTAATAGCCTATGGCCTACTACTTCCCGATGCTTATAATTCTTCTTTTTTCCAGCTTAAAAAATGTTTTCGATATAAAAAGGTGTACTGATTGGTCGCAAATGGCGCCAAATTTTAACTTTATTTTTTTTTATTAATTTTAATGCATACGATTTAATGAATTGTAGACTTTTTGAGCAGAAGAAAACCTAATATATACCACATTTTACATAAATATTTAGCAACTTCAAAATGTATAACATATCTACCTTCTTTCAAAAGTGCGTACAACAGTACAACTACATAACTGATTGCATAACTTTTTGTACAATTGTACAACCAGGAACACTGGACTTTGCAACATCTTATTGATATTTACATGTTTTTGTCTTCTAGTGTTAAATATAGTTTGAGGTGCAAGATCTTTTCAACTAGATCATCCTAAATATCCTGTCCGCAGAAAAAATGTTTGCCTTAAAAACTGTCTGCCTACGAAAACTTGGCACCGTAGCCTAGAGCCTAGCTAGCCTCT